CATCAAGCTGCAACTGAGTATAAAGGTCGTAACTAGAAGAGATAATTGTTTGATTTACTTCTTTATTTACTGTTCTGTGTTTTAGGAAAAATAACTAAGAACTTATTTCAAAATAGCAATAATCGATATACATATATAATGTATAATAATTGAAATGTGACTGTATTTTACAAAATACTAGTCGACTAAAACACAGCCAAGACAAGTTACTTTGTACAGACCAAAGGTCATCTTTATGTTATTTGATATGGTAACATGAGTGCACGTGAGCCATGTTGTTGTAACTTCTGTATTGTTAGCTAGGCATGGGTGAAAAGTAAATATAATAAAAATAATAAATATATATAAATGTATAATGTTGTGAGATATAAGCTATTTTGTCTAAATATTTATGTTTTCATGTTATAATTTGTGTTCATTCTAGAATGAAAGAGGTGTAATTTATGTTTATTTCCTAATTTTTTTATGGTGGTTGGGAGATCAGTCAAATTTACTAAACCCGTACAGGGATTAATTACTGAAAATAACAGATAAAATATAAAGTTTCTTTCTTAAGGAATGGTTGATAACTATCTGGACATTATAAAGATTTTGCATGTGAAATTTCAAAATTTTCTGATGCATAAAAGTATTTTTAATGTTAAGATGAAAATTACTTTGCATGATAGATAGGCAAGATGTGAAAAGAAAAAAAAGGCACGAGAGAAATATTGCTTTACAAATCTTAAGGCTTAAAAAAATTAGATATTTTGCTTATGAAAGCATTGTAATGTTTAATGATAAACTGCCAAATTTTGTTAACATTCGCTCACTAATTTAAAAGTTATAACATGAAAACTATAAGAAGCACAAAATGGTTACGAGGTCAGTCCAAGGGACCGAGCCCGGGTTGAAAGAGTTAATCAATAATGAGAAATTGTAATATTTTTTGACATTTCATTACTGTTTTGGGTTACGACACTACAAAAAAACAGGCAACTAAAAGCATAATCTTGAAATTTAAGGACAGCTGTATGATGCTATGAGAAAGTACTTTTGGCAATCCAGGGATATTTAGCTTGTTGCTATTAGCAATGAAGTTTCATAATGAGGACAGATTGGCTTGTCTAATTTCTAGCAAAAATAAGTCATTATCAGCATTGTGTTAGTTATATTCATTTCGAGAATAAGAACCTAAAAACATTTTTTTAAAGTTGTACTAATATCAAGCTTTAATTTTGTAGCAATTTCTTTTTATTATGATTTTTTGATACTTAAAATATTCAGGAAATAGTTTTAGTTCAGTCTGTTGGACATTTTGTGACTTAAAAGGCTATGAGCTCTCTGTTTTTTAAAAGTCTTCACGAACATTTGTGAGGTAAAGTTTCAAATATATATGTATGTATATTCACACACATATATATTTTTTTATTCCATCAGCTTTGAGTATGTTATTCCCATTTTTACTTAACCAGGTTGATCCAAAAAACATTTTTTCTTCTCAAAAATAATCATAATATGAATCATAATATTACAAGGTTGATTAAATCAATCTTATGCATAAGAACAATGTCTGTAGGTATATCCATTAGATAATTAGGTCATAAGTAACTATGTAAACTTTTAAGTACAAGTGAGCTTAACATTATAATTGGAACTAAACCTACTCTACAGCCAGAAAGATAATTCTAGAAAATAGGTTCAAATAAATGTAATTTTTCTGTAAAGAATAAAAAAACAGAATATTTATAGTTTTACTCAAAGAGTCTTGTCCCTCCTCATATATTTTAAGTTATTTTTCAAAGAAAGTGCACAGTAAGTTGTATGAGAAACCTCTAAATAGAAATATGCTTGACAGTATAATTGAAATTGAAATTAATATATGCTTGAATTAAAGCATTGGCTTCATAAATAGACTTGGCTTCAGAGACCCGCAAAACATTTATGGTCAAATTGGTGTCTTTATTGCAACAGTACTTCTTTAAATACAAGATTTCTATAATAATAATTCTAATCGCAGACACTGAAATCTACAAACCCACTTGTCCTAGGCCTAACATTAGTTTAGTCTCTTATTAAATATGGCCTATATCCAATATAGAGATAAATTAAAAATGTAAATTGTGTAAATTTTTTGCTGTTTAGTTAGGGCTTAACTTTACTGTACTTAATACTGTCAGTAAATAAATTTATAATGTTATTCTATGATTTTGATAATCTTTTAATATGTTGTACAAAATGTCTACTAAAGTATATTTACATCCATTGAAAATGAAGTGCATGAGTATGCACATTTATGTAGTAAGATGCGTTCACATTTTCAGGACAGACAGAAACTGAGTATTATTATAATAGATGTGAATAAAAACCCTATAACCCAAGCGCTTTTGAAAGGTGGACCTTTCTTCTTTAGTTTGCCCCTGAAGAAGAAAGGTCCACCC